TAATGCATGGCAACTCAGTGTCTGAAAACAATCTGGTATGGTTTGGTGTGATATATAGAAAAGCTCACAGGAGAGGTACAGGATTTCCATTGACAATGAAATATCAGAAGTTTGAGGTAACATTATGTTCCTGATATCTACTTCAAAGCAGAATGCAACCACATTAGAATGCTTAGGCAGCTTTTTTAAGCATTTAAGCAATTTCAAAGAATGAGTCTCTAACTCTTTTCCAAATAAAAGGCAAAAGTTGAATCATACATTACTGTTCATTCTGTGGCTAGAGTTGAACTGAATTCTTGGTTCTACTCTTTCATGAAGTGATCTTTGAAAACTGACCTTTTAGAAAATTTTAGTTACACATCTTTGAGCTATAAGCATATAAATTTTTACAAGGTGCCTAGCTGTTCCAAATATTCTAACTTCTTATTTCTTCCATGAAATAGTTCATATGCTAAACATGATTATATAAACAAGAAGCAAACTTATTGCTTAGCAAATACAAGATACAAAAGTAACTTCAGACAGTTGTTACCATCATTTCTAATGACCTAAACCAGATTGTTCTTTGGTTGAATAATTTATTAGCTAAGGTATTAAAAACATTAAAAATTTTGGTCAGACCACACTTTCCATTCTATCCAAACATTTGGCAAAGGAAGGACTGCAAATTCCTCTCTCTATAGAGTATGCTTACAGTAAGTATTTCACCTGGGCTTTCTTATATATTCTTTAATACCAAGCTGCAAATCCTTAGAATAATTGCTTAAGGATGCTTAAGCAATTTCAAAATGTTCTTGAACTCTGAAGTTATGATGAGGTGTGAAAAATGCTGCTGAGTGTATGAATTCTTTGCATCTGTGTTAATATTTCCTAACATTGTTTTTCGAATGTCCTAAGCTTGCAAAAATTACATTAGTTTCAAACAGACTTCACATACAACTAAATCCCAATATAGCCATAACTTATTACCCAAACCAAACAGGAACCATCTCCCTTCAAGAAAACTGTACCTACGAACATGATAGTGATGCTGTATATTATTTACTTCTGTTTAGGTGTAGGCTTTGGCCCAAGGGCTTTGCAATAATATATTAAGCCACAGAGACAGGATAAAAAATTTAGAGTGTGAACATGTGTTTGCTTGTAATGCTGAGTTTGGTCTAAAGTACGAGAGTGGGGTTTTCCTTTCTAAAACCATTCATGACATGGCTGCTTCATCATCCAAAGCTTTCTTCCCTCAGTATTGGGAATATAAATGAAAATTTCCATGAGAATTTAGGATTTCCTTTAATCTTTTGACTTCTCAGTTTCTGCAATGAATGCACTAAAATTTGCAAGACCTGCAATGAAAACCCTGAATGCTACCATCATCTTCTGGCATGCTGACTCTACACAACAGTCCACTGCACAAATGATGGGCGAGTTTCTTGCACAGCAACGAAGAAAAGCAGTAAAGATCTTGGCATCCCTAAATAAGTGATTCTTCTCAAGCAGATTCACACATTTATATCAGGTGCTAAAGATATACAGCTTTTTTAATTAATTAATGTTGCTGAAGAAGACCAAAAAACCATAGAACCAAGAAGAAGCCAGCAGAAACTCTCAAGTGTTGCAAAAGTAAAATATTTCTTGGCAGCAAGTTAATTAACCAAGTTTTGCCCTATGTAAATCAGAATTTCACCTTACATTTAGAAATGCATTATCTCTACCACGTTTGACATCTGAAACATCAGATCCCTTGACATTGTCATTATAAAGAGCTCTTGAGCAAGCACTTTAATAAAGTCGCACGACTTCACCATCTGTGGCATGCACGCATGCAGTCTATATGCCTATTTCCTACCAGTCTCACAACAAATACCAAAGCATTTGTCTTCTTGTCTTCAGCTGGCTCTAGCAACAGATTTCTCACAAGATGTTATATGTGTGTTAACACAAGGAAGTTAATTGATTGGGATGTTCTTGTACTATTCAGCCTCCGCATTTTAGGCAAACCAAATTTTCTCACAGAAGGTGCTTCTGCTGCAAGGCAGGAAACTTGTCACTTTAAATTTTATTTTTGTTTGTAATACTTGCCATTTGTGACTTTCAAACTAATACAGTAAATAAGAGAAATAAAGTATAGTCCATTCTGGTCATTTGGGGAAAATGTTCCAGAACACTGCAAAATTGAGTAAGCTTTGTCTAACCTTTTCCAGAACCTGCAAGAATCTGACTTTAGTCAGATCTGCAGTGATGAGGAAAAGAAAAATTATGTAAAAGCAACATTATTTCAAAATAAGGTTTCTTCTCCAAGTTTAAAAAGCAATTATTTTCCTTTGATTTTGCACCATTTCCCAATTCAACCATTTCCCAATCCTTTCCAGCATTTATTTCTGCTTTACAGGTACACATTTACAATGGAACATCACCACTTCCTTCTCTTCCCTGAATTAGGATATATGGCATGCAAGTCACAAAGAAGACACTTTGCACCATTATCAAAAATATATATATCAGATGCATAATTTAAAGTTTGTCTATGATTCACATGCATCTTCTGCATCTGCTCCAGTTGCTTTTATTCAATTGTACCTACACTTGCTTAATTTAAAAGGGCGGAAGAGTCCTGTTAGTCTGTGCAACTTCAACTGGACTGCATCCCAGTTTTAAGATTCTTTACTGACTAAGTGGGTGCTTAGCAAAATCACAGACTGCCTAAATGCTCTTGCTTCTTTCCACTGCTTGGACACAGTAATAGCTTAGAGCCCTACCGGTCGTTTCCTGTTTCTCACCACCCTCCCCCCCACCTACTCCAGAAGAGCATGGGCAGCAACTACTTAGAGCTCGATGGTGCTAATTTCAATCTGTAGGCTGCTTTCATCCAAACTAAATCAGTGCTTGATTTTGCAAAGTATAGCCCTTAGATCAGTCTGTGGTAGATGTGCTTCTTAATCTCCTTAGACTAAAGGGGATGTCCTTGTATCGCAAGCGAGCTGGTATCCCAGGAAGCGCTGCTGTGACCCAGTTCACTTTTATAGATTCAATTGTCCACTGATGCTGACTCAAGGGTGACCCTGCATGGCTTTGGTTTGTTTCCATTTTACCCTTCAAGCACCAGCAAACAATATATCTAGTAACAGTCATGTTACACCTCACCATTTGACTCCTGGTCAATATAGGGCACATGTTAGTGAACTAGTACCTCAAAGACACACTTTGAGGAGATTGCTGCCATTAGCATTTGCCCAGGTCCTTCCTGGACTTTACAACAGGACTGGCTCCCATTTCTGCTTTTTCCTGAAAATGCTGCCAGCTCCTCACTGTGTGACTTGGATTCAAGATTAACATCATTGCCCTGGGAGCATTCCACATTTTATTGGCACAGCGCGGGGAAGCAGGCATTGCTGAACAGGAGATAGAAACATAATGAGAGGTGTGGCAGGTTACAGGTGCCTTGGACCCTCACCAGGCTTATGTTTAGATGGGAATCATAATGTTCAATCATTACTGCCAAAAACAAACCCCAGTGCTGGTTTTGGCTGGGATAGAATTAATTTTCATCACAATGGGTAGTATGGGGCTTTGTTTTGGAGTTGTGCTGAAAACAGTGTTAATAATGCAGAGTTATTTTAGCTATTGCTGAGCAGTGTTACACAGAGTCAAGGACTTCTCCTCACACCATCCCAACCTGCAGAGGCTGTGGGTGTAGAAGAACCCAGGAGGTGACACAGCAGGGACAGCCTACCCCAACTGACCCAAGGGGTATTCCACACCATATGACCTCATGCTCCTCATATAGAGCTGGGGAAGAAGAAAGAAGAGGGGGCACGTTCAGAGTGATGGTGTTTGTCTTCCCAAGTAACAGTTACCCTAGATGGAGCCCAGCTTTCCTGGGGATGGCTCAACACTTGTCTGCCTATGGGAAGAAGTGAACAAATCTATTGTTTTGCTTTACTTGCATGCTTTTGCTTTACCTTTTAAACTGTCTTTATCTTCACCACGAGTTTTCTCGATTTCACTCTTCTGATTCTCTTTCCCACCACACCAGGGCAGAGTGAGTGAACAGCTGTATGGTCCTTAGTTGCCAGCTGGGGTTGAACCACAACACCCCCAAAACAAACAATAAAATCCACACAAGCCAGAGCCTTCTTGTCATTACAGAGGATGTTTTATCCTATAATTTATGAGCATTTGAGACCCACCTTTCCTACACACAAAACTTACTCTCAAGTTTAGACATATAGGATCCCTAGTTAACCAAACCCAAGGGCTTGGAGAAATCTGTAATTAACTGGTGCAGGTGTACTCCTGCCAGCAGTAATGAGCTTTATTGGCACTCAGGTGTTTGGTTCTGAGGTGAAGAGGGAGGCTGAGATGATCCAGTGCAGCCCCTTCTGCCATGACTTGCACATGGCATGGCTGGACCAGAACTGTTAATAATGTTCACTGGCCACCAATGCTTCAGCATGAGAAGGCAAACTGCATAATCAAACTTTAAGAAGTGGAAATATGAACAATGTTTCAGCAATTAATTTCCCAAGACAGGTTTTCTTCCATTCACTTATTTCCCTTAAGGATTAAAAACCTCTCTTACAAGGAAACTCAAATTGTTCATGGTATAAGCCCCCCTTGCTTACAAGGCATATATTTCGTATACTCTGAACCTTGTATCTATCTGATAGCTAGCAGACTGCCACTGCCTTTCCAGCTTTGACTTGACAACTACATTTAAGTTAAGGATTCACACAACCCTTTTGCCTGAAGCCCTGTCACTGCAGTTTACTACATGTGGAATTTTATTTTATATACACTGCTAACATCTGCTCCCTGTAGTCTGGCACAGCTGAAGTTTAGTGCTAAACATGTACCTGTATTTCAGTTTCACCTTTTTTCAACCCTCAGATACTTAATGGGGAAAAAGAAAGGGAGGGAATAGGGAACTTATTTTTGTAAAGAAAAATCTAAAGAAAATATAGAAAGTAATAATATAGAAAGAACAAAACAATTTCTCTTTTTACCTTTATTTCTACAGGTTGATCTTGTTTACTGATTTCCTCAGTTGGTCCTTCCTTCACGTTAGTATTAATTTCTAGAGTTTCGTTTTCAGATGGGATCAGTTTATGACTGCTTGGAGTCCTGTAGCAGCTGCTGAGCATCTGTTCATCACAGGCAGTCACACTTTGCAATGACTCTCTGGCAGTACTTTCACTTTCCCCATTTATCAAGCTGTTGTTGATGGCATTATCTGGAACCTGGGTGGACACAGCAGAGTCACGATCAAGCAATCTCCTGTCCTCATCTTCTGTCTGGTCTTGTGCTACTACTCCATTGGCTGTGTGTAGCTGTGCAACCTGAGTGTCGTCGGTATTACTGTTTCCCTGTTTTTGTAGTGGGTGCTGGGAGGGGAGTTTTGGCTGAGGTGATGGTGTTGATCCATATCTTCCTTGAGATTTAGAAATGTGGAGAACAGAGGAATCTTTCTTCAATTCACTTGGATTTAATGTGCTAAAACAAAACAAAACAAAACAGAAAAAGAAACACAGATGAGAGAAAAGTTAAATATGGTGTTATAGAAAATCCTTTTTACAGGGAGTAGGAGAGTTGTGTCATACAACCAATTCCTCCCAAACAATTTTTTATTTTGTTAGTACGATGAAGTTCGGGCCGTCAAGACTTGAACTGCTTTATTCTATTAAAATACACACAAACATGTATTTTTTAGTGGAAAACCAGAGTGCCATCCATATTGATTCAGTACATCCTCATCTTTCTTGAATCTCATTCGTAAAATGAAAGGCAGTATGAACAACTACAGTAATAGATAAGGGCACTGATAACATGAATCAACTTGCCCAAAGTGTCCCAGAAAATTACTGGGGGAAATGGAGAAAGACTTGGGGTCTCCCAAGTCCCAGGCAATGCTTAAACTAACAAGCAGCCTATTCCCTAACTGCCCTTTAATTATACAAAATTCATGAAAAATCTCCAAGAATACTTAGCATCCCTTTCCTTAGTTCAGCATATTGCAGGAAAAGCTTTAGTTTCTTAGTTCATATCTTTCCCCAGTTTCCATATTTAGCAGTGTCCTTTTGTCATTGTCATGTTGCATCTTTTCGAAAGGGTTGTTTGTTTTTTTTTCCCCACCATATTTTATCTCTGTTTTAAACATATGCTATTCCTTGTTTATAACTTTCACCATCTCTATCTCTTTCTCTGTTTTATTTTTGAGATTTTTAATTTTAGGCTAATGTAAATTGGTACAGTACTCTGGAAAAGTGCTTGGCTTCATTATAGTTAAAAAAAAAAAAATGTAAAAAATCATTTGGACAAAAATAAAGCCTGTACATTTTTGTCTGAAGTACATTTAACAAGTCATATTCAACTTGCAAAATGATACCATGACTGCCTTCTAGCATGCTGTTCTTAGTATGGACCACTAATCTTCTAGAAAGATGAAGACTGCTTATAAACCGTATGTTTACTTTAGTTTTCACAAATATTGTGAATATATTTTGCACTTTTGTATACGGAGCTCAAAAATATCTTATACTGGCTTCATCTTTTCCTATCACATAAAAAAACCTTTAAATCAGTTTTTCTTCAGTTATGTAAAGATAGAATTCACATTTTCAATTGCATGCATAAAGCAAAGATATTTAATTAACTTTTTACCATTTGTGCATGTTTGTGACCTATACAGACTAATGAAAATATGTTATCATAATTGACAATCACAGTTTGGAGTTCATGAACATATTACCTCATTATTTGAAGACCAATAATGACAAGTGAAATTCCCCTTCATGGCAGATGTATTTGTGAGCTGAGAACTTCTAAAAAAATGGGAATTGATTCACAGCCTCAGCAGAATATTCCAGAATTTGGCATACTAATTATGAAAGTGTCACATAAGCTTAGATCATAAAGCTGAGGAGAGTTTAATCATTGGACAGATAGTATTGGGTGTACTTAATGAATGATGCTGGCCAAAAAGCAACTTGGCTTCCTGTAGTCCCCAAAACATCATGATTGTCAAAAGTCTGCAAATAAGAAAGCTTTCATTGCTTTCTTTATAGCTTCCTTTAATTGCATAATATTGAAAGAGTTTCTGTACAAACCAGCAGCAGGCATATCTAGGAGGAAAATGTAGGGCTTACAGGTGTAGGGCACAATGAACCTGAGGAGTTTCCTTTCAGAAAGGATAAAAATGTTTTACTAAGGTTACTAGACTGTTAAAAAGGGCTTGAATGCAGTTTCAGAGGAAGACTGAGAAATAATATGGTAACAGGACTGCAGACCTGAGCTTAAGAATTGACAGGATTTCCAGTGCTGCAGTAATTTCTTTTTCCCATCTTTTGGCAGCTGTCATGAAAGCAGTGCAATTAAGCTGCTGCCTAATGACGGAAGCTTCCTGCAGATGAAGCTCTGAAATTATTTCTGATCCACTAGACAAATGTACTTTTGCCATGCCTAGCTGCTTCTGTACAAAGGACTCAATTTCCCCCATGTTGAGGGGGGAAATCTTTCCATGAAAGTCTTAATACCCTGGCTGTTCAGAAGGACATGCTCTGTCGTACCTCATGCATTCATTCCATCCCTGCAGGGGGAATCTCTTCAGAACATCAGTATCTCAAGGAAACACAAGAAAGCACATCCTAAAACTTGCAAAGCTCAACTGTCACGGGTCACTGAACTGTTTCTTGAACTGCTCCTCACTCATGGGCTTTCTGGACGGTCAATCCCTTTATACAGAGTTCTGAATTTCTGCTTTCAGAACTTATAATACTTGTCACATACATCTAGATGTAGATTCACAAATAACACTATTTTATAAAAGCAGAGTCCACTGTGCCTCATGTTTCTTGAAGTTACAAATGTTTCCTGTAGTATCAAAACTCAAAAACATTATATTTCACCAAAACCACCAAGTACTACAAAGCAGTTTAGTGACTGTTTGTCATATCAATACAAATCACTCATACTGTTCAACCTCTTCATCTGAGTGCTCTGAAGAGGTGAAATCGGTATAAAAGGAAAATCAGGATTTCAGGGTTTTCTATTTGCTTGCAAAATTAAATATTTTTTCTGCAAGAACCAAAGAATTTAGGAGTAGCACCAATGTTTAATTCTAAAATCAGCCCTTACTTCCAATGGCTGACATTCTTCAGTATGTCTTTAAAATTCAACTTGTTTGGTTGGGGTCTTTTTTTAAGAAAAATTAAGACTTAGCACCTTATGAAAAAGTACACAGTGTACAGGCCAAATAAACAATTGTCTTGCACCATTTCAAAAGGAAATTTTGCCATGAGTTCCTCTGGCAGGGATGGTTTGAACACTAATGTGATACCAACATTATTCCTCACAGATTCAAGTTCCAGCAATCCATACACAAGAGTCACAAACCAATTCAAATTCTATTACATACCTGCCTCCCTCAAATCGATTGATGAGATCTGACACTTTGCTGGACTTCTCCTTTGAGACACCAGAAAGAGGGGTGGGTGTGTCTTCCTCCATTCTTGGTTTCTGATTTGATAAAGCTTTTTGCCTAGGGGTTTGGTATGTGACAGGTGATGCCTTCTGCAGATGAATTGGCTTTGGAGGCACTGTAAACAGCAACAATAATCACTCATGAACTGTTTCTTTGAAGTGCTAGAATATATATGAGATTTCTGCATAAGAACTTACTACAGTGATGATGAAGAAGAGATGCACTTGGCTTTACTTACCTTTAAAGTTGCTTTATGAATACAGGGACTTCATGTGGCTTTCTTATGCACTGTCTAGTATCATGCATCTTGTTCTATTTCTTGTATAAAAGCCAAACCATATACTACTTTAACAAGGTAGAAAATTTGTTTGTTTGTTTTTCGTAGTGTTTTGTAGTAAGCACACATGTGGCCTCCAAAAATGCAGGTTTTATAATGAAAAAGAATTAAGCATAATAAAAGGATCTAGCTGTCTGTGCAGCTCAGGAGAGAGATTGAAATTGCTGCCCCAAAATTTTGGTGCTCTAATTCTTTACCTTCTCCCTCAGAACCTCAATAATAATAGTCAGGGGAAAAGGTATTTGCCTTCATCTTTGTGCTTCCTTCATGCACTGAACCTTCGTCTGTTCATGCTGCTCAAAACCTGACCTCCTGAAAACATTTTTTTTTCTTGTTTTTTCCCCCATCCCTACCATAAGTCCTTCTAACTACATTGTTAATGAACAGCCACTGTTTACAGCAGTGGAGAGAACACAAAAGACGAAGTGACACATGAAGTAACTAAAGTCACAAGTGCTGGGGATCTTTTAAGTTAATTTTTACCCCTTTGAACAGCTACACTGCTGCATTTGTGAGCAGCAAAAGCACTTCACAGATGGGGCCTGAATGTGTTCCACTATCAGAGCAATGCACCTCCGGCTCTATCAAAAAGAAAGACTTAATGGAAAGATCCTTAATTCCCAAGAACGTGACTGCATTCATTCCCACACACACTCCCAAAACATACTGTGTGGAGAAGTGAAAGCCTTTCACATGTCAGGGAAAAATAAATACTGTATTTGCCCTTTTATAAAATGCAGGCATAACTCAGCAGGAGTAGGCAACGCCCTGCTAGTGGGACTGGTGGACGCAGGGCCTTGGCCACTGCTCCACAAGCACCATGCTCCAGAGTGCCACAGGCAACAGCCCTCTGGTAACTACACAGACCTGCCAGGGAGAAAACATTAATAGAAAGAGGACAGGAATAGGAATTAAGAATCATATGCAACTCTCATGGTAGAAAAAAAAGCACTAGTACAGGGATACACAACAGAGGGATGTGAAAAAGCCACGTTCCTGTCATCACTGACTCCGGAATAGCTTACTGACTGACCCTGGAAAACCTGTCACCACAGCAATTAGCTTAAATCCCATCTGCTAACATTTGAAAGTGTTGTTGAAAAAATTATTGTAAATGTACCATCACAGACAATGATAAACTTGAAGGAATACTTGATTAAGGGTGACTTGCTATCTCTACCTTACATTAAATTTATAGGAATATCTATCTGTGCTTCCAATAACCTAAGGACACTTAAGTGAGACTGTAGTGATCAATGTAGTCTGAAAAGTACTGTCAGGGACTTTATGAAGAAATAAATGTACCACAAAAAGCTTTACACTTCACATCAACTACAAATGCTGTCAAATTAAATAATCAGAGGGAGAAAGAAAGAAAATTACTGTACATCAGATTCTTTTAGTGTGCATATGTGCGTATCTTTGGCCTTTTCAAGCTTTATTATATAGTTATTAATACAAGCAAAAAAGCAGCTTTGGGGAAGCATGCAGAGCAGAAAGGATGACTTAGAACACTGCAACTTTCAAATAGTTACGATGCTATCCTGAAACAAACTGAATATTAAATTGTGTAACTGATTGTTACATGTATGTGTGGTAACCAAAGCCCCTCCTGAGAAGCCACACAGAATTTTTCAGCAGCAGCTGCAGTACAGAGGAGCAGTTTCCCTCCATTCCCTCTTCTCAGGGAGCTGGGAAAAGGTCTAGCAGAATTAGGCCAGCAAGCATCAGATAATTATCCAAGTGCTGAATATCTTGCTGTGCTGACAAAGGAGATGGGACAGCTGAGAGAATTGAGACAAGCGGGCTGGGAAAAAGCAGGACACATAATTGAGCGTGGGCACTGCCATCCCCTTGGGCAGGAGATGGAAAGGAAAGGGGACACTGGGTGGATTTACTGACCAGCATTATGCTGGTTTGTAGAAACACTTCTTGCTCCTGCAATGGATTTTGTATAACTCAGAGTCCTGTGAATTCTTTTATTTAACGGACCCATACAGCTCTTTTGTACATCTCATAAGATGTTAATATCCTCACAAGGATATATTAAAGCTACTAAACTTCAGGGAATTAATTTCTACTGATAAAGCAGAAGGAATTAGTTGGAAGCTATTTTTATACTGGATCCACTAGGGACAAAAATCAAATTCTAGGACATTCTGTAAAGGTGTTGCACAGTTTTGCAGCTATTAGTATGAAGGAAAAATACTTAAAAAAAACCCCACAGGAACCCAGCATAGCAGCATTTCAGTAAGTCAAGCACTAGGAACCTTTGGGAAAACTGGAAAATCCCAATATATTGTAAAACCTTATAACATCTTCAGAGAAGAGCCATAAATCAAACAGCAATGCCAATTCACTAATGCAAGATACTTCTTTACTCCCTACTACCATCTAAAAAGACAGCACTTCCCCTAATCAGCTGCTGCTCTAGCTACTGTAGGCTTCAGAAATAGAGCAATGGGAAAAGGACTGTCACAAGATCAATGAAAATAAAAGAATCAGTAGTGTAAATACAAAATTAAACTAAACAAACCACCCACAATTGCAAACCTTCCTGTAAGGTCAGCCTTGTTAATAGGGATTAGGGAAAACAAATTCCATTAATTCTCCCCTCCATGTACTTCTGAAGTGTTTTGTTTTAATCAGATTATTTTTCAATGTGCACAGAGCAAGGATCTTAAAGAAAAAAAAAAGGAAAAAAGACTGGCCCGTTGTAATACCCTTCATAATACAGAGCTCTGTTTGATTCTACAAATACTCATCTCTATATTGTAGAATTTGGAGCTCATTAGGAGATATGAACTGAATATTCTGCCTGAAGAAAACATCTCGGTCTACTCAGGTATCTGCTGCTGTGTATCTCTAGCCAAAATATCCAACTAAGATTTAAGCTGCAGTGCCTAGTTGTGCATTCAACTTTGTACATACACACAACAAAATGGGAGGTAAAGCTTCAAATGGCTTAAAATGTGCAACCACCTTTCCTGACTCCAAAGCATATTAGCAAAGGTCATTTATCTCATCTCTTGCAGTCTTCCTCTACACATATTATTTCTGCTGGTTAAAAATGCTGTGACACTTTTATTCAATAAAAATACACAGTTAAAGTTTCCTGTGGTAAGCAACTACAGCTCTCCTGACTGAACGATCCTTCACCACCTCCTTGCATGCTCCATCACATTCAGCAAGATCAAATGAGCACAGCTGAATAGATACCAAAGATTTACATTCACAAGAACAGTACAAAATAACTAGTAACCTAGAGTTAGCAGAGGAAGAGAAAAAGTAATCTCTTTAGGATGTGCATTCCCACATTTTTAAACCATATGAGAACAAGTCTCTTCCAATAATATATTAAGATCATCAATAATTATCAGGTGTGATTTGTTCTCTCCTTTGTCCTCTTTCTGAAGATAAACTTAGCAGTTCTGTTGATAAAAGCAACATTGTTACACATTTCTAAAGCGCCACTGAGATTGGAGAAGCCTAGCCAAAAACAGCTCCCAATTTTACTTCAATTCACCTTTAATTATAGAAGTTTCATTTGCCAGGGATGTACAGTGTACATTCCAGACCTTGAAGAGGTCTTGCAGCTTTTCCTGGTCCAGGTCAATTAACACCTTCAAAACTACAGACTATATTATAATTGTCTAAGCAAGGAGGACAGGATTGATGCTACACAGTAGACAGCTGAAACTCACTGCTGAAGTGTTGAATACTTTGTGTCCATACCATTTCACAGTAGCACAAACCAGGGCACCTTCCAGAGTGCAAAATCACCACCAACCCAAACAAAAATGCCTCTTAATTCTCAGCAGGAGATTCACAAGTATTCCCAAGCACTCATTAGAAAAATTTAAATGGGCAACTGATGCACAGTCTAGAACTGACAAGACACTTGACTGCTTTGAAGAAGTGTTGACATTTCAGTGTATTTTCCATCCTACAATAATAATGCCTGGTACAGACAAAAGGTTTTCATTGCCCAGTGTTTAGTAACTGGGTATCATAAAGAACCCATGCAAGAGGTTCAAAGACCAGGGAATAAAAGAAACTTGAAAAACCTGGTCAACTTCTGCATGTCAGTCTACATGCATCCTTCTATTACTAGGTTCAGATCGTTGCCCAAATATTTGTAGGTAAAACAAATTTCAATTTATCTAACAATTTGTTTCATTACAAGTGCATCCCATTTGCCCTGAAACTCAGTAGCGTATTTTGCTGTTTACATTGCCTCCCTCCAGTCTGGATTATTCCACTGTATCAACAAATGCAGAGCACTGGTGTAGAGGCAGGGCACTGCATTTCACAGCTGGTACAGACTGTGACTGCTTTTCTCCACACTCCTAATTTCTTTGCTCAACTCCCTCAACAGCCTTCAGTCAGTTTCAAGTTTTGTTCCAAATTTGCAATGACTTTCATGGATCAAACTGTACCCAATCTGACATATGACTTGCTAAATTGTTGATGGAAGAATTATTGGGGAACAAAAATTGTTTCTGTATTATCAGTGTATCAGACAGCTAGATTATTTTCTCCTTGAAATGCCGGGGGGGGGAAATGAAAACATAAGGAAAGAATTTTATATTGGATTTGGAGCAGAAATGTATTCACTTGATCTAGTTACCCTGTGTGATCTTTCTCCAAATATTTAAACTACTTCTCTGAGACCAAGTACAGACAAAATAGGCTCAGAGTCCAGGATTTTGCAAGATTTTGGACATTTTTCTCTATACTAAAGCTCTATTTCATCTATTAAAGCTAAGTTTACTAAAAATAAGTACCTCACTTATAATGTCAAATTCATCTTTCTATCTCTCCTTTTAATTATATACTTTTTTGTACATTAGATGAAAGTAATTTTGCAGTTAGTTCATTAATAACTAAATACACTGGCATTGCAATTCATGTCTGACATTTCCTTTCACTATGAAAGGACACTTTGTATTTGCATGGCTAGAGCAACAATTTGGGAAAACATTTCCTGCTCTGATAAACCAAACATGTTTCTGTACCTGTACATTAAAAACTGTAAAAAAATATATTTTAAAAAAATATGAAAAACTAGCAACCACATTTTAAACCAATAAACTAGAGCTGCTTGGTTTGCTTGTACCATTTGGACTCCCATTCATTCTACTTTGTTTTGCTTCAATTAAATAAAAAGGCCACTTTAATAAAAAACACTTGAATATGACACATATATTTAGTAGAAACAAATGGAGAAAGACACAGACCCATGAACAATGCAGGCACAAAACACTGCTTACAACAGTATTATTGAATATAATCTACACAGCTGCATTTCTTAGACTACAGCACTACTCCTGGCTATGCCACATTTTGGAGAAAACAATTTTGACAAATACAGAAGTCATGGCTAGGAAAGAGCAACAGCTGTGTAAATACTTGAATGAATGGGGTCCAGTAATAGCCAAGTCCTAATTTATCTAACAGCTAAAATTTATAATAATTGCACTGCCTTTGTTTTTGAAAGGCTGAACATCCTTTTATTGATTGCCCATTTCTGCTTATCTATTAACAAATTCCTAAAATATTTTTCTTAGGAAGAACACATGTTCTCTTGTTAACTTAGCTTCAGAGAACACGTTTCAGAGACCTAGGAACTGGTGCAGAAAGACTACTCAGATAAGTAATGTTTACATATGTCTGATAAAAACATCTTAGTTTAGTGAACAATACTGGCAAAAGTTCTATAAAAACAAACAATACAAAAAATACAGCTTTTTTTCGCTCTTAATCCTCCTAAGTAAACAAAGCTTTCTTCACACCCCAATACATTTCTCCCCTCCTTAACTCTCAGATGAACTCAGGACAGCTGCAAAATTCTTCAAGATGCATTTCCCCACTAATTGATACACAGATTGTTAAATGTTAAACATGTTAAACATGACGACTCTGTGTGGTTCTAGTTTTAGTAGGTGATTTAGATGTGATCTAGTTTTCTATAAGTAATTCCAGGTTTTGTCATATCAGCACCATGTCTCAGAATCCAAATCCCTGAGCTGGATCATGATATCAGTCTTCTAAGCACATTGTTTTTCCAACTCTCGTGGTGAATGAAGTACCTATTTTAAGAGACTCCTAAAATACATCAGTCCAGATTCACTTTGAATACAATCTTTCCAGAACACACTACCTCTTTGTTGTGATCAACCTCAGCAGTATCATCAGTATTACTGAGAAGACCACAAGAAAAAGTAGTTTGAGGTTTAAATATATTAAGTCAACATGCAGGCTAGAAGCCTATTTAGCTTCTAAAAGTAAAGATACAATTTCTGCACAGGAAGAAGGGAAGCCTACTTCTACTCTGCAGACAGTATTGGTCAGCTCTTACTGCACAAACACAAAGTTCTCATCTCCTCACGCACACTCCTGCAGGAGGCCTCCTCTTGAGCTCAGCTAGAACCCCAAAGGTCCAGAATATTTTCCCCTCCACTTCCACCTTGAAGCCAAACCCTCCCATCTAATTAAAAAGTAGTACCACAACCTTCCAGCTCAAATACAGTAACCCTTTGGAAAAATAAGTCCAGACAATAGTTTAATACAAGCAAGGCGCTTACATGTGTCCTCCTGCCTCTACCTACCAGATACTTCTTGGGCAGAGAATCACTTGCTGCCTGGTAGAAAGTGCACAGCAAACTACTAGACACTTAAGATACAAGCACATAGGTATATCTGCACTTTTTAACATATTAGTAAGTCCAACCTTCCTTCTGACAATCTCTTTCAGCAAAATATTTTCAGAAATTACAGATTCATAAAGCATTTACAGAACACCTCTATTTCAGTAACAAGCTTTTACCCCAATACTTTTTTTCCCCTGTTATTTCAAAGTACTCTATCTCTCATAAGGTCTGAGATGATGGAAAACCTCCATAACCAAAATATTGGAGACAACTTACCTTGTGGCTTTGGATTTGAAGCTGAACGTGGGGACTGTTTGACTGGCACACTTCCATTTATTCCCTGAGCTGCTTCATTGTGTAAATTCTGCTCAACTAGCCTGGTTGTGGCACTTGCTGGGCAAGATCTAGACAATATTAAGGACTTTGGACAGATGCTGCTGCCTGAAAAATAAATAGGTACAAATAACCAAGAGTTAGAAACAGGATTAAACATATAAGGTAGAATGATCATAAACATATTTGTTTAGTGAGAACACTTCGCTATACAGAAAAATAGAATACGTGCCTTCCCTCTGAAGAGAACCTCATCTTAAAAACAAGCTTCACCTTCCACTGAAGTTTATTATGTTGCTTAAACCATGAAGAGCTGGCTGTAACAAAAGATTTCTACAATTAATTGCCTAGGCTTTCCTACAAAAAGATTTCAATGTCTACCTGACTTTTTCCCATCTCTATTGTCAATGGGATTCTTGAATAGAACTAGAGAAAAAAAGCATTTTTGTTCAGCCATGCTATTTCTGTATTCTAAGTGTTCACAAAATGTTACAAATTAAAAATGCTTCCTTTATTATAGAAGGTAGTATCCAAAAATTAGATAAACATATTGCAACTTTTTTGTAGGAAAAGGCTCCTATTGTAAGTATTTTTAAAAAGAGCAAAGCACAGACCAGTTGACACTGCTATTACTTTTCTTCCTAGCAGAACACAATTTATTCTTATTAAGAGAATCAATATGCTACTATTTGTAAGAAAGCTGGAAAAAAATATAAAGCAAAACATATCCAAACAATGGAAACTGTAATAAAAGCGCTTATTAGAATATGCCCACACAAGCCTAAACTGTGGGCTTTTGTTTTGGGATGCAGAAGTAATTTCTTTTTAAACACAATAAAAAACTTGAAATACTATTTTAGGCCTCAACATCTCACTCTAGGTCAATATTAATTCATCTTTGAACCCAAAAAATCTACAATTTTTATTTTTTTTTTTTTATATGGGAAGGAACATGGGAAAGGAGGAAAACCCATGTATCATTTATTGAAGTGTTGTCATAATTATTTTCCCTTTTAGAAAAATATTAGGGTAGAGTTTGAACATTCAAATTTATTGTAATTAATTGCCATCATTTTAGTTTTGTTTTCTTGTACTAGTAGAAATGCAAACAAGAGTGGGGGCTTGTTTGCATGTTGCAAAAAAGCAAATCCAAAACCCAGTCAACCATTTCCTCAGGCAATCCTCTGATGTCTTTTGAACAGCAACTAGCCTTCAGGGTCTTGATTCTCTGATCTAATTCATAACAAGGCATTCCTGGCTACAGCCAAGCCTGCTCTTAGACCATCAGTGGAAAGAGACACCATAGTCATTGCTTAACACAGTTTAAAGGCCCTTCAAGGTCTTGTGGATTCCAACAATATTTTCAAGTATTCATACTTTGTTTCTTAGAAGCTTTCTTTTTCCATTTTAATACTGAAGTAGCCCTACAGTAAGAAAGTGCCTCTACAAACATGGACACTTGCAGGGCTCCATGTCAAGATCAATAACTCACCCTCCCAAAAAGTCAGTACTTGAATCACAACACATGCAGGACACAACATGGCTGCAACAGGGCATCTTTCACTCTTCCATTTCATTCAATTAGCAAGAGATATCCTTAGATCGTAAAGGTCCTGGATGCTGCAGATAATTAAGAGACCCACCATATATGGAAGATTCTCAGGCATTTGTGATGTTAGTCAGAAATTCCTCAGCTCTGTTTCCTTCGGTCTTGCTCCATACACAAAAACTTGCCTTGTACTGCAGCAGTGGGAGCTCTGTCCCACATCATTCCTCAATGCCAAGAAGGCACCTCAAGTGCCATTTCCACCTGTCCTATGGAGATATGAGTACTGAAAGCTCTTGGAACAAGGCGATAGTACAAGGGGTCATACCAGCAAGTCTTTCTTGTCTCTATCAAAGAGCCAACAGGCTGAATTTCTCCTTCAGAATCCCATACTGGACTGAAGCAGTTTACACTCCAGTTGGGGAACCCCCAGTTCAGAAACAAATTTAAGAAAGTATGATGCACGGGTCAGTTTGGCAAGTGCACATAATTTATAAATCCATATCCAGAGCACTCTTTAAACTTTGCAATGAGGGTGAAAGTGTGAAGTATTAGAGCCCTCTGAAAACTCCCTTGCCTGCAGATTTGACAGCTAAAATGCTTCAAAATCTCCAACTCCTCCACTGCAGCTCAGGAATGGACATTGCTGCAGTTAACTGTTCAGGCCAAAACTGAAAATCTCCATTACAATGGTACCTTATTTACTAAAAGGATTTCCTAAAAAAAACAAGATACCACCGGCTTGAGAATAGGAACTATTTTACACACAAAACTTTATCAAGGCACCTATTCCTGTTTAAGGTTATCATTCACAATCACTTTAAGCAGAGGCCAATGCAGAACTGCTGCTGAGAACAGGGCAGCTCTGTGGTCTGCCTCTCCTCCCCTATCCTTGTCAAAACTCGCACCTTCCTCTATGCCAGCACCAGCACTTGTTCAACCATACAGCAAGATGAGCAGCAGAAATGATCCAGATGAAAGCTGGAGTAAAATTTTACACATGTTGTTTTCAGCACACAAAAATGCCAAATACTTGTTCCACAATCAGCAGCTCATATTTTGGCAGAGCTGCTCAATTCTGTCCATTTAAGTAAGCAGTAACACAGTCAACCTTTTAGAAATACAGTTGATGCCCTGTAAGTACAATTTAAAATCCCTTTTTAAATGCAAAAAGTCAGACATGCTGCAGAAACCTGCAGTTTTCATTGCACTCTAGTAGATTCCCATTATGGTTATTTCTGACCTGATTAAAGAAACACTTGCATACCACTGCTCTTCCTATAACTGAGAAATTTTACTTGCAGTCAGAAATGCAATGCACAACAAAATACTACCAGCCAGTTACTGCATTCACTAGTACATGATTCATACCACCTCTTATAATCAGAGATGCCTAAATACACTGAAAAGGAGAGATGGGTGGGGAGAGATTTCCAAAAAAATAGAAACAGGGGCAGGCAAGAATGTAAGCAAGAAAGAGGAGGCAATAACTAAAAGAAGAGAGAAATAAACACTGTTAATTGGATAAGTACTAATTATTTTGCTTCTCATCTGCAAGGAAATGAAAAGCTGGAATGCTTGCAAACATGCTTGCATCTGCAAGAATGTTTGAAGCTGGGCAATGCCTTATATACTTTTTCAGAACATTCAGATTAGAAGTAACTTGGAGCCATCAACCTTTAGACAAATATAATCAGCCAGCTTGAAATGCCAGTAACATGAAAAAATGTGCTTATTTATATTCACAAAATGTTAAACTAATGTTTTAGCATTGGATAGGTCCTCCATCAGCAGTTCCATAAGCTTCAGAAATACAATCTCAACAACATTAGGTCTTCTGTTATATTTATTTGAATTCCCACACAGAGCACATAGCACATCTGTATTGTTCCAGCACTGTCTAATTTTTACTGTCATTGAGATCTCATTCTTCATCACACATTCTGAATGGAAGAAATTGAGCGATTCTGGACATAACCAAAGCCTATGGAAAAAGAGCACTCTGTCCAGTTCCGGCACCACCAACACAAGAAGGACATGGAGCTCTTGAAGCAAGTCCAGAGAAGGGCCACAAAGATAATCAGATGGCTGGAGCACCTCTAACCTATGAAGACAGGCTGAGAGAGTTGGGGTTGTTCAGCCTGGAGAAGAGTCCAGGAGACCTCCTAAGGGACTTCCAGTATCTGAAGGCAGCCTACAGGAAAGCTGGGAGAGACTTTTTGCAAGGGGTATGTAATGACAGGACAAGGGGGAATGGCTTTAAACTAGAGGAGAGTAGGTTTAGATTAGACATTAGGAAGAAATTCTTCACTATGAGGATGGTGAGACAGTGGAACAGTTTACCCAGAGCAGCTGTGAATGCCCCTTACCTGGAAGTGTTCTAGGCCAGGTTGGACAGGACTTTGAGTGCAAGTTGTCCCTGCCCATGCAGGAGGGTTGGAACTAGATGCTCTTTAAGGTCCCTTCCAAGGCAAACTATTCTATGATTCTGTGACTGCCAGGAGGCAAAACTGAAGTTTGAAAATTACTTGTCTTAAAAATAACACGGCTATGTGTATCTAGTGTGTTAAGTCCCAAGAACAGTTGCCATAATGGTTGTGGTCCGGATGTCCTACTACTAGATCTTTTCATGCGAGATCAAGGCAAAGCTTCAGCCTTCCTACACATCCCTGAACTCATACAGAGGTTCAGCTAATAGTCTATCAACCAAAGCATTGGCTTAGCCACAGTAGCCAAGTCATACAATCTCCTGAAGAGTTCAGAAGAACATTAAGTAGCACTGGCACTCCTCTTACTCATCAAATCCTACAGGAGCTGTAGCAAGGCCAGGACAAGTGCAAGCAGGTTCCTGAGCACAAACAAGAAGGCAGAAAGTGGCCTCTTGCCCAGACAGTTAAAACAACAGATTTATTGAGGTCTGAGCAGGAAATCTAGTAAATTAGGTCATGGATTTTGCCCACAGTTGTGTCCAAACTTCCCTCAAAACTAAGTTTCTAGTAAATTGGTACCTACCCTTTACAGGTTTCTCGTTTTTTTGTGAGAGGAAGCAACATGTTGCTAAGAGGATTATACTGCTCATGCATACTCAAATAGAAGAATAACTGGACTAAGCCTGAACTATCTGAAAATCAGAAGTATGGACAAAGAGAGCAGCAAGACTGGAGATTCAAGTTTCTCTCAAGAAAAAAATAATCTAGCTTTCTACAAATTCTATTAAATGCTATAATCTCAAGTTAATTACACATCTGTGGTTTGATATATCTTATTGTCCCTCAATGGTGATAGAGTTGTGATTGCTTTGCAGCTGGAGAACAGTACAAGAACTTCATACTGGTCTGTGCAGATGAGCTCTAAAGGTTACACATCAGGCTAACCTTAACTGTGGTGAACCACTGCTGAAATGCTGCAAACAGTTGATAACCCAATGCTGTAAAAAGAGGAAAAAAATAACTTCTGCTGAAGTCAGGAGAGCTGTTTCACTGAAAAAAAAAATCGTTTCCTTTCTGCAAGAACGTGCTGGTCAAAAAATAAAAGGCAAATATCAGAAGGTTTAG